GGGGGGGGGCACTGAGCTGTCGGGGCGGCCCTCGGGTTTGGGGGGCCCGGGGGGACCCTGCCCGCCCCCGGCACTCACCGGCGGCGCTGAGTCTCCCGGCCAGCTCCGAGAGGCCCGGCAGGAAGCGGGGGCGGCCGGGGGGACCCCCCAGGAGGCTGGTGGGGGGCACGGCCGCCCCCGAGCCCGCCGGGGGGGGGTCCAGCCCCGCTGTCAGGTCGATGGCGATGTCCAGCTCCAGCTGCTTGTCCCGGGGGCGCCCCGGAGCGGGGGTCGTGGCCCCGCGGCCGGGGGGGCCCCCCGCCTCCTCCGGGGGTCCCGCGGAGCCCTGCTCATCGCCGGGGTCAGGCCGGGTGGGGGGCCCCGGGCTCCTGGGGGGGCTCGGGGGGGTGGGGGGCGCGGGGGGGCGCGGCCCCCCCTGGCTCCGCACCTTGATCTTGAAGTTGAGGCCGAGGTTGAGGGACAGGACCGGGGAGTCGCTGGGGGGCCCGGGAGGGCCCGGGGGGGTCCCGGGGGGGCTGCTGGGGGGCGGGGGGGCGGCGGCCCGGGCGGACAGGCAGAGCAGCGCCAGCAGCACACGGGGGGCGGCCGCCCCCCCAGCGGGGGACATCGGGGACATCGGGAGCGGCTGTGGAGAGGGGGCAGAGGGGTCACCTCCGGCACCCCCGAGCCCCCCATGGCACCCGGGGATCCCCCATGGCACCCCGGGGTCCCCCATGGCACCCCGGGATCCCCCATGGCACCCTGAGCCCCGGCAGCCCACGGGGAACATTCGGGGAACATTCTGAGGGGGGACAGGAGCGCCCCGCGAGCAGGGACAGGAGAGGACGGCCGGGGACACGCGGGAGCGCTCCACGGGAGGGACAGCAGGATCCGGGGGGGACACCGGGGCACCTGGGGACAGGAGTCCCTCGGGGGAGGACAGCACCAGCGCGGGGGGGAACAGGGGCACCCCGGATTTGGGACAGGAGCACCTGTGGGGACACAGGAGCCCCCCAGGCAGGGGCAGGAGCAGCCCGGGCGCCGCGGCGGCACTCGGGGACGGGGGCACGCGGGGCCGCCCCCGCCGCGGGGCCGTGCGGGGTGTCCCCTCCCCCGGACCCCCCGCCCGCGCCAGGTCCCTAATCGGGGTGACAGGGCTGTCGCCGCGGGGCGGCACCGCGCCCGTCAGGGCGGCGGCGGCGCGGGGACGACGGATGCGAAGTGACACGCGGGACACGCGGGGACCCGCGGCCCCCGCAGGACAGCCCGCACCGCGCCGCGGCCCGGAGCCGGCACCCCCGGAACGCGTCCGAGCCCCCCGGAACCGCCACCCCCCACGGGACACCCCCGCACCGGACACCTCCGACCCTGCCACCCCCGCACGGGACACCCCCACGCGGGACACCCCCGGCACCGCCACCCCCCGGAACCGCCACCCCCGCTCTCTCCGGCCCCAAGACCCCCCCCGCGACAACGGGGGCTCCCCCCACGCCGCGCCGGTGTCACCCGTGGGTCACAACCGCGCGCGCCCCGCGGGTCACACCTGCCCCCTCCCGCCGTGCCCACGCGTGTGACAGGGACATTGCGGGGGGGG